GATTAGTCTTGGACAGTTTCCTAAGTAATCGACTCAAATTCCAAAACGGGATCACTGGCGATTGAAAAAAATAATAATTTAATTAATCCAGTTTTGTGATGATTCTTTACAAAAAAATATAAATAAATAAATCATTTTGTATTGTGATCAATTGGCTGGGTCCGTTTAGTGTCGCTGGTTTGCGTTTAACCCAAACTCATTTCGGCTTCACCGTCTTCAGTGAGGAACTGTTACGAGAAACTTTTACTTATTTTATTTAATGTTTAAGGGTTCTGTAGGCTCTCGTCATCTTATGGTACATGTAAAGGAAAATGTTAAAAATTTACGATACCTTTTTTGTGGGATGCGCTATTCAACTTTCCGCTTCATCATTCTTTATGTCACGTTGTAAAGGCCTTTTTGAGCAGTTCCTCTGCAGCCAATTTGGCAATTTAGCCTTTCTTCTTTTAGAGCACCTTTTAGCGGAAAGGCTAGAATAAACTGCCAAAACGGCTAAGGAGGGAGGAGCTCAGATGAGAATTAAAGAATGTAAAAAACTCTGCGAAGTTTAATAAAGCACGAATACAAAATACTCAATAGCCATAAAGAATGAAAAAAAAGAAATTTTTTCTATGATTTTAAAAAAGCCTTACTTTTCTATTAGATTGTTACAATAGTCTTGTTTGCGAACAGACCCTTAGACAAATATTATCTCATTTGACTCTGTTTATGTTTTTTATTTAATTGTTTACACTGACTAATCCTTCCTTCAACAATATGCGCTATCTTTTAAACGTTTAAATTGCTACTATAAATTAAAACTAGAACGTCTTCAATTCCGTACATATATGTACCATACATCTATGTATTGAATCAACCTTGGGGTTTAGCTGTCCGAGATTAGATTCCATGTGCCGTCAACTTGGTCATTTCAGCCCTAACACATGCAGTTTTTAACTTATACACAGTCACACACACCACTCTACTTCCATACCATTTAATCATGTATGTTGGAGTACTCAATATTTCTCCATCGACCTTTACACATTCAATATAACGAATCGAATTGTGGGCGGATATTCACTATTCCATCATCCGTTCTCTGACGCTAATAAATCAAACTTAAAACCCATGTACAAGAACCGACCATTATTGGTTAGAATGGCCCACTCCTTTAAGCTTGACCCTTAACCTTTAATATTAACATAATGGATCAGGGTTCGAAAATACTTTATGTAAATGCCAGACTCTTAGCGAGGTTTGGCCCGAATATGGGTTCCCGTGTCAACCTCGTATGACCTATTCTTAATCGGGTGTGTGATCTCAATTCCAAAGCCATCTATAGACGGTACTCGTAATACTTTTTTTATATTTCAATTTAAATGTTATTGGACCAGAGGCCCATGATGGTCAGGTCTAGATGGAATGTCCCGGGCCTTCTTACCTTCCAGAAACGTGTCCATGTACCCTGAGAGCCAATACCGTTCTGTAGTAGAATGTATTATGATTCCTCTCTATACCTTGCATTGAGACTACTTTTGAAATGAAATTTCTTGAGACGTTGTAACACGTAATTGGCACCAACCTGCACATCCCGTTGATCAATGGACTCAGTGAGCGCCTTGGCCCCGGCTTGTTCATTCCTCGACGTCGAACCATCAATCTCTTTTAATTTTTCGATCAATGATAGATGTAATTAGAATTATAAAAATATGCAATTAAGATTGCTGATTAACATAAATATGTAATTACAATTAATTAAGGTTTTTAGTTGAGATGAAAAAAAGGTAATGGCACGAGCGGGATTCGAACCCACGATCTCGGCTAGATACGCCGCTGCTCTACCACTTGAGCTATCGTGACCTCGTTCCACTCAGACATCAACTTCCTATCTCAACCTCACCTTATGAGTTTCCCTCCTTTTTGCCATTTTTCAAATGTCGTGTAATCGGATTGGATTCTCGACGACAATTGAAATGGCCACGGAGAGCTTTAGTGAAGTGTATTTCATATTAATTCTTTAAATTCACTAATTTCGTGGTCCCCTTGACCAATTAAATCATTACAATTAATTAAGGTTGAAAAATGGGGTTCGAATCCCGCTCGTGCCATTAACTTTTTTTCATCTCAACTAAAACCTTAATTAATTGTAATGATTTAATTGGTCAAGCGGACCACGAAATTAGTGAATAAATATGTAAGTGATGAAAATGATCATCTTTCCATCAGCTTTGTAATTGCTTCATTTTGCAAATATGTTTTTTTCTAGGGTGATTGTTATTGATAATTAATCGTTGTGTTTAAAAGGCGATTTGAATATGTGAAATGACAGTTTGATCAAGTTGATTTGGAAAAGATTGCCTGCTCGTAACATCCCAAAATTCTCTCTGGCGAATTTCTCCTGTACGATATTGATTTGACGTTTTACGAGTGAAACAACAAAAAATATTTACCCCGAAAGAAATTTATCTTTGGCACACAAAAACTGTAGCTCTTCTAAATCCTAGCTAAAGACCGGTAATTAGTCAGTTGGCGATTAAGAAAGGGGATTGTACTTAATCCTTGAAGTGAGGTTGTTGAAAGGAAGAAGACAGGAAAGCGGGGAAAAATCCAAAAAACAAGAAAGTAATTAAAGCTTTTCTTGAGTTCTCTTAAATCGCGACTCGGGCGAAACTTTGCTTTTATTAATTCCTTGCAATTAATGAAGAATAACTGTTTGTATTGAAATCTAAAAAGGGGCTTAGTAATAGGGTGTCTGAGAGTCTGACTTTTCGTTTACTTAATGCTACTGAAGAGTACTATTTCATTGGAAAGCACTTTTTCCCCCTGGGTAGTTTTTGCAAACAAATCGCCGGCCGAAAATCTACAAAGAAATGTAAAAGAAAAATTAAGGAACATTCTCGTTAATGAGTTGATACTATTGCTAAATACACAATTTTTTTTTATTAAAGTTGCAGTAATCTTTATTAAGCTGATTTCTTTTCGTTTTATTGTTGTTTGTTACCACTCTAACGTAGTGTTTTTGATGCTAGTTTATAAAAAAATTCATTCAAATTTTAAACATACATTTTATTTGTATATATGTATATATGAAATGACTATAATGACATGAAAAAAAAAAAATATATATTTTGAAAAATAAACTAGATATCCATCACTTTTACGGCTCTGAAATTATGCTAAACCTGCATGACCACCAGTCATAGCAAAATTNTATATATGTCACGTTCAGATTTAAATGAACCGCCATGCCCCTCCACACACTCAAACAGTGAAAGGAGTAGGGGCCGAGAAAGGGCTATTTTTTTCAAGTCCTAGAAGAGATCCCTTTCTGGCTTGTGTTGGTAAATAGCTATTTTTGGTAAAAAGAAAAATTTGGTGTGCACACTATTCAAGTGAGTTAATTTTAATTAATTTGACGTCAAAATAAAAAAATCATAATTATAATTTAGTTTTAAAAGTGTATATATTTTATAAAGAAAAATAAAAGAAATAGCATTTCATTTTAAAAGTTGTGTTAATATTTTAATTGTATTATCAAATTTGGTGGTCAAAATTTTAATAATAATAATAATTTCTTTACCTTTCTTTTAGGAACTATAAAACGAGAATCAAATTCCATTTTAAAATTAAAGTTTGTAGATTTGTGATGGGTTTTTATAGGATAAAAGGATTCTTTAAATTAAAAATAATAATTAATAAAATATATTGTCATTTTATGTGAAAATAAATTGTAATTAAAGATTCAAATTTAACAAACATTTGGTGTCGTATTTACTTTAGTTTAAATGAAATATAAAAGGTGCCTGATCGATAAATGAAATAATTGTAGTCAGGTCCGAAAGTAAAAACCTCTGGGACCTTGTTTTCGGTTTTCCGAATTCAGGGTTGGGCCCAACAAAAAAGAAGAGACACTATATCACATATATATACGAGGACACACACCTATATAATAAATATATATATATATATATATATACACACACACGAGGACACACACCTACATAATATATATATATATATATATATATATATATATTATATAGGTGTGTGTCCTCGTAGGATGCGAATGGTACACGTCTGCTGATGTGGTCGGGCTCTAGTTTTTATTTATTTTTATGTCATTTTATATCCAAGTCAAGTCAATGATTTTAGTTTGTCAAATAGTATTAGACAGTAAACAAATCTGTCATTTGACTCGTGCGCAAAGGTTTTTTAAATTCAAGTCTGCAGTTTTTCTAAATTGCCCTTTTTTGCAGTATTTTTTTTTGTTATAAATATAAGATGTCTTCGTTGGGTGTATAGAGATGCGATTTAATTCGAGATTTAAATTGTTTGCTGAATAAACAGTCAGTAAAAGTTTTATTCATGAAGAAATCCTACATTTAATTAAATCCAAAACTGAGATCCGAAAGGTAGAACTAATTCAAACTAAACACAATTGAGAAATTTAATTATTCTCTGGGGCCAGAACCGACGGCAGACGGCTGAATGAACTGAGATAATCTACCCCAAAGAGAAACATTCGTTTTCCATCTGAGCCGTTCGCCGGCGTAGTTTTGGGGTGGGCGTCATATGGATTTATACTCGGACACATGTTTTTTAACGGCAAAAATCCAAAAATGTGAGAAGTGGATTCAACCCTCCCGTCTTGGACCGAGCCCACCAACGGGATAGAAAGTCAGAATGGAAAGGCAGGGGCAACGAAAAATAGTAAAGCTTATCCAACTGAAAGAAGTCAAAGTAAGTGGCGCGTTTCGATTTATCGATTCGGCCTCGTATTTGGATTACTAAAAATATTGAAAATTTAAGCGCGAAAGTCAAGATAGACAAAGTAATACATAGAGAGGAATTTAACTCTCAAAAAGACCAAAAATATGTTTTTACAAATATGTACAGACCTTGGGGTTGAAGATCTTTAAAGGTTTAAGTGACAAATTGTGTTAGATTTAGGATAAAGCTTTTAACATGTAAGATCTTGGTATTAGGCTTAATAACAATTGTATATTTGTCAATATTAGGTGAACGGTGATGGTGAGTGGGAATATGAAGAAATTACGCTGGAGAGAGGCGGATCCGGACTGGGCTTCTCAATCGCAGGAGGAACGGATAATCCGCATATCGGCGACGACACCGCCATTTACATCACCAAGCTGATCGCAGGAGGTGCTGCGGCGGCTGACGGCAGGCTGCGCGTCAACGACATCATCTTGGAGGTCAACAGGGTCTCCGTGGTAAACGTGACGCACGCTGCCGCCGTCGACGCCCTCAAAAGGGCCGGCAACACCGTCACACTCGTAAGTGGGATTCGACGTATTTGACGTTCCGTGTTTCAGACGCTTATTTATTTTTCCAGTATGTGCGAAGAAGGAGAGAAAACGTCCTGGGAAGCATGCGAGTCATGGAGATCGAGTTGATCAAAGGAAACAAGGGTCTGGGCTTTAGCATCGCCGGAGGCATAGGCAACCAACACATACCGGGCGACAACGGTATCTATGTGACGAAAATTATGGACGGTGGTGCTGCACAAGTCGACGGAAGGCTCTGCGTTGGAGACAAACTGGTTGCAGTCAGGAACTCGATCGTGAGTATCTATTAGTCCTTACCCAGTTCGGCTTGATTATTATATCCAAAATTACTCTTGATCTTGTTACACTCTTTCAAGACAATCAATATTTCCCTGATTTTCCGTATTGCACAACACTTTTCGATGCTTAATAATACAGGACGCGAGGAAAATTGCTAACATGTAAACTTATCAAAAATAAAACCCAAATTTAATATTTTTATGATCACATGTTACTTTTATTTTCCACACTTTACAATTAATGAACTATCCACCAAGTAAGAGTTATTCATTTATTGCGCCCATTATGATTCATTTTATGCTGTTACAATACCCTACCGCCAACGTATAATGCTTGAATTATGCTCATTGAACTGCTGCATTATATTGTCATTTCAATGTATGCTCGAGGGGAATCTGTAGCCTCAGAAATAGATTCTGCATGACTTTATCAAGTTCATTTTAAAATCGCGATGCTAGTCCTTATACGTGCGATTAAGAGGGTCAGGAAAAAACATTGGTCTTACGACCATCTTGTACAAAAGACCTTTGTTTACTGAACTACATGAAAACATCGTAAAACACTGAGAAAAGGAGCACATGCTAGTTGATGATGTAGAAGTCTTTTACAAGGTTACCACGTAATAATGTGCAAACTTAAGAAAGATGAATTCCCTATGTACACATTTGAAATACATAATATACTTTTACTCCTAAAAACATTTAATGACTAAAAGTGGCCTCATCAAATCGAGTAGCTTGAGAAAATTTACAATTTCCATTTTCTAAAACGACTGGAATTGTTCAGGTTTTTTCAACAGTCGGGCGTAGGCTGTGAATATTTGAGCAACCCAGAAAGAATTGAACCCGTAACCTAATTATAATGAAGAAGTAATACCGTCTATCGCGTGGAACAGGAGTACATAACTAGCAAATAGCAACTCACGCCTTCCTCGTCCCCCTGTACTTTAGCTCTAGGCCTTCTTGAGCGGCAGAAATTTAGATTTAGATTACAAAACCTATGCTCTTTGTTAAGAAGATTCCTCAAGGATGTGATTTATCACTAATATCAACATATGGCATTCCCTCCGAAACCCTGCTTCCGTAGGCTACTATGTGGAAAACAGTAGTTTTACGTTCTCTGAATCGGAGAATTCATCTAGGATCTATTTTATCACAATGTGTTTCAACCGGTCATTGAAGTTTCAGTCAACACTCAGTACCCTCTAAGTCGGAGAACACCTTAAGAATCTTTTATACCCCTTGTTGTTCAACCTGTATGACTCTCAGCTTTCCTTGCCCTGTTTTCAGACAACACAGGAGAGTCTACTACATCCTGTAAATTGTGGAATTCCTGAAGGATCTCGTCTATCCCCAACATAGTTCAACATGTATTACATCTCCTACACCCCTCTCTTTTAGCCCTGAATCTGACTGTACTCCCTAAGTTGGAGAGCTTCTCAAGGATGTTTTTATTGTCAATATTGTTCAACCTGTAACATCTCCAATATCTCTGCTTTTTAAGTACTGTTTATAGAAGATCCGATAGTCAATCTATACCTCCTAAATTTGGAACTCCTCAAGGATGTTTAACCCCAGTGTCAAGGTGTAGTATATCTCATCACATGTCCTTACTTCCTTGCCCTGTATACAGACGACTCAGTAGTCTACATCAAATGAAATAACTCCTTAAGTATCTCTTGTATCCCCAATATTGTTCAAACTGTATGAAATCTCCAACATCCCCGCTTTAAGGATATTTTATCCCTAATGTTGGTGAAACTGAACGAAATCTCCTCCAACATCCCCGTGTACACAGCCATTTTTCCTCAGAAGTGACAGAAGGTGCTCTAAATCTAAATCCCTTTAACAGTGTCTTGCCCCAATTAACCACCAGGCTAGAAATAAAAACTAAACTGTTGCCTTAGCTCTAACAAGAGGAGCCGGTAATGTATTTGGACATGTATTGAACCGGCAAGTGGTTTTCAATTATTATATTCAACTATAAAGGAAAATATAAATGAAATTATATGAATGAAAGACTTATTTTGTCCCATTGTCAACTAGAACTTAATTAGTTAAGGTTTTTAGTTGAGATGAAAAAAAGGTAATGGCACGAGAGGGATTCGAACCCACGACCTTCGGCTAGATACGCCGCTGCTCTACCACCTGAGCTATCGTGACCTCGATCCACTCGGACATCAACTCCCCATCTCAACCCCACCTTAAGAGTTTACCCTCCTTTTGCCATTTTTCAAATGTCGTGTAATCGGTTTGGATTCTCGACAATTGAAATGGCGACGGAGAACTTTAGTGAAGTGTACTTCATTTTTAAATCATTAATTCACTACTTTCGTGGTCCGCTTGACCAATTAATACATGACAATTAAGTAAGGTTTTTAGTTGAGATGAAGGCTAGCTCAGGTGGTAGAGCAGCGGCGTATCTAGCCGAAGGTCGTGGGTTCGAATCCCTCTCGTGCCATTAACTTTTTTTCATCTCAACTAAAAACCTTAATTAATTGTAAAGTATTAATTGGTCAAACGGACCACGAAATTAGTGAATCTAGAACTTAATATTAAACCCCAAATATGCGCCACTATTGTACAAAACCATGTTAAGACCGGTATTCACTTATGGTACACTACTAACATTTCAAAATAAAATGATAAGAGTAGTGATGAATGCCTAGTGGATTATTGTAACTACACAGTGCTTCGGAATTACCACCTGTCCAAGAATTGATATATCAAAAATTGCCAAAATAGCCAACCAAATTGGACGCTCTTTTAAACCAGAACTTGAAAACTGAAGACATGTAGACTGTTGTTCTATAGACATGCAGTCAATCGTTATATTAAGGAAAAATCACTTATATCGTTAACTGAAAGTTGTCAAATGCCATTATTTAGATGAGCCTTAATGTATCTTGTGGATCCGGTAATGAAAAAAACCTGTTAGAGGGTTTTAAACACTAGGCTGTATTTTGAGTAAGGGCTACGTTCTAACATTGTTTAGGAGGTGATTCTTAATTTGAAAAAATTTGTCACATTAACATTGATGTCAATTGCAGATATTTCTTTTTGATTATTATCGTGTGTTTATTTTTTTAATGTTGTCTAATCGTCATCTTTCATGTTGTTTTGACGTTGTACGTCCATTTTGTTGTCAAGACCGAGAATTGCGGTGCCGACAAACGGAATTTAAAACTTTGCCGAGACACCTGTAATGAAAGTTTGGCAAGTTCATTACGGCCGGTTATCTCCCGATAATCACCCCCGTCATGAAGCCCAACGAAGAACTTGTGAAGAATTACTGCAGATGTCTCGTTACGGAAAATTTGTTGCCCAAACTTTTGTTCCATTGCGTATGGGGGGGGGGGAGGCTTGGTAGGAATTGGACTCCTTAGCAAAACATTTTTGTTACAAAACGGTATATTGCCATTTAAGCCTTTTATTACTTTACACGATATTTGTTGAATAGTATTCCTTATTTTCATGTTGTTTTTATTTTTTATTTGTTACCTGTTATATCTTACAAAATTTGTTTAAATTTTGAAAACATCACTATGATTCCCTTCTATAGAAATAATTGAATCGTAGAATAGTATAATTAATTCGATTTTCGCGTAATTAATTTGAAAGTCTCATAATTTATCTTAACAAGTCGTCCTGTCCGTTGAAGTTTATGACATAAATTTCATTAAGGGCTTTACTCCTTGAAATTAGTTTAAGAAGTTGATTTCTGATCTATTTCGTTTTAATAAGTGACAGAAATGTGGATTTAATATAGAGAATTCTCATAATATGTTTTTAAGGTTAATAATTAATAATTAGTGAATTTAATTGGTCAAGCGGACCACGAAATTAGTGAAATTAATAATGTAAGGCGTCCGTGGCCGCAACGGTTTAGACGGGGTAAAGGTCCCGGGTTCGAATCCAGCGGCCCTGGAGAACCCGACTAATGCTTTTTTTTCAAACACAGGCACCCAGAGGGTTGATAATGACCTATGCTGTTGCGAACCCTCGTAAAAAATAATTAATCTTCTAGCGCTTTCAACGATGAAAATAGTAAGGTTTTTTTAGTGTATTACTTTGGAACTGCAGTGACAATTTGCTGGGCAACAATAAATTAATATTGTAGATAAAAAAATACAATTTGACCCTCTTCGATCGCCGATGAATAAATAAAGTGCATAAGTAAATCAACCATAAAATGTATACCCTATAAACATAATTTGTAGACGGCACCTTTTCTGTCATAAACAATGTTTTCTGATATTTATTCCTGAGGTTATAGAAAAAAACAAAATTGTGTCATTAGCCCTCCTTGGTAAAAGTTGATTTCACTAAACTTGGCCGAAAATTTGAATATTTATGCGGCATTCACAATTTTTTCAAAAAATAAATTTGAGTCGAAACCGATTGTTCTCGCGATAGTGCTGATATTATAAACTTCATTCTCAGAGCGATTAATCAATCATAGTTGTCTCTCAGTACAGATGGATAAGAAAAATTAGGACTATCTTCCGACACCATTCAAAGACAGATGTATAAATAGTTTAAAATAAATAGTATGGTCGTTTCCGAACATATTGTTCTGCTTTGCTGTTTTGTACTGGATTTTTAACCAGGACGATGCCTAGTACCAACTCTTTTTCAATCCCCTGCTTCACAGATCATCACAGCCAAACACAGATCCTGCAAACCCTGAAATCAAACATTATTTGGTATTGTTTGATTAAGTTTTCCCAAGCAGGAAATTTTATAAGTAAGTAGTGTTTAACTGTTGTTTGATTTTCAGTTTATCCACACTGTTGATATTTTCTTGCCATACTGTCAGCTTGAACGATGAAACAACGCTGAAGAAGGCGGGGAGCCAAATGCGTCCGATAGTCAAAAACTAAACGGTCAAAATGATCGGAAATGACCACAGTTTAGAGCAAGACAAGCCGAAATTCTATGGCATACCAAAACTGAAACGATATGCTCATACCAAAATCATCGGATACGATCAAAAACGCGTCGCTCCACACTCCTGAAGGAAATCAATTTAGCAATGTGCCAAACAAAAATGTTATGCATGCAGGTCGTTTCCGATTATTTTGATTTTCTATTTTCCCTGTTTTGATATTCGATCTAGGCGCCTCCTTATCTTCAGGTTAGGTTTGTCTAGCCAATATATTAAACAGTTATGTTCTGACAGTCCGAAACAGAGAGGATATGCTCAAAATTGGCGGAAAGGACTCAAGATGAAATCGCTCGTATAAATATTTGTACATATTAGATTTTCTCAAAATAATCTCCAATTGATTACTTTGGCTCAGTTTATCATAGTAATAAGAAGAAATAGTAATAAAAAATATTTTTTTATAAAGTATTTAACTTCACTAATTTCGTGGTCCGCTTGACCAATTAATACATTACAATTAATTAATGTTTTTTAATTGAAATAAAAAAGTCAATGGCACGAGCGGGATTCGAACCCACGATCTTCGGCCGCTGCTCTACCACTTGAGCTATCGCGATCTCGATCCACTCGGACACCAACTTCCCATCTCAACCGCACCTTTTGAATTTTCCCTCCTTTTTGCCATTTTTCAAATGTCGTGTAATCGGATTGGATTCTCGACGACAAATGAAATGGCCACGGAGAGCTTTAGTGAATTATCCTTCATTTTAATCATTAAATTCACTAATTTCGTGGTCCGCTTGACCAATTAATGTTACAATTAGTTAAGGTTTTTAGTTGAGATAAAAAAGTCAATGGCACGAGCGGAATTCGAACCCACGATCTTCGGCTTGATACGCCGCTGCTCTACCACTTGAGCTATCGCGACCTCGATCCACTCGGACACCAACTTCCCATCTCAACCGCACCTTTTGAATTTTCCCTCCATTTTGCCATTTTTCAAATTGGAAACTTTTGCTAAATTCGGGTGTCCGAGTGGATCGAGGTCACGATAGCTCAAGTGGTAGAGCAGCGGCGTATCAAGCCGAACGTCGTGGGTTCGAATCCCGCTCGTGCCATTGACTTTTTTATCTCAACTAAAAACATTAATTAATTGTAAAGTATTAATTGTAAAATTGACGTTAAAACACCGCCCGCCTTATTCAACAAAATTTCAACTCTATCAAAATTAATGAGGTTTTTTAGCAAACCAAATAGTCCAAATTAACCTGCATACAATGACAAAATTATTTAAGTGAGATATTGCAGTTTTATGTTCATAAATAAACTTAAAACATAAATATAAGCATAAAACAGCAATATCTCACTGACACTCTCGGCACGACACGCAAGAATGGCACAATTACACAGAAGACAAACACTTTGAGCCCTGAAGATGATCTCAATAAAGATCGAAACGTTGGCACGATAAAGAAAATGTTTTTCTGAAACCTACATCACACCAGACCGCATCTCACGATTTCTAAATAAATATCGATTAACGGTCACTAATCACCACACAAACAATGAAAATGTACAAAGAAATAATCCAATGACTGTAACGTGTAATTTTCTGTCAAAACAAATAAATTTTATTTGTTAAACTGTGATACAACAAAATATTCTTTAGAAAAACGTTAGAATGTTTGTCGTTTTTTAAAGCACAGCTTTGCGAGAGGGGATCAACCTTCTAAAATATCTGCGAGAAGAAAGATTAAATTTGTTAGATTTAGGTGGCTTAAGAGTCTTTGCGTTCAACAGGTAGGACTATTAAACTCTTCTGTACATAACTTATACCTCACTATCTAGCTTGTGTAATTCATGTCAGATTAAATTCAATACTACACCCTACAGATTTTCGGTTAAGAACATTTCGCGAATTAAAGAAATACACGCAGACTTGTTGGTGATGATGGAAGGATAAAAATAGGCCTACGAAAATAGGCGAATATCCGCGGACAAATAATACAGACCCTTTCCGTCATATTTCTTGTCAAAAACCAGTAGTTCAAATTTCTCGTAACACTCAATTTGATTTCAGGAAGGTGATGTCAATTTAGAAAACGTGACCCATGAGGAAGCTGTAGCGACGCTGAAAGCGACTCACGAAAGGGTGCTTTTGGTCGTCGGAAAGCCGGACCACGTCTACCTTCCTCCTCCACACGCCGAGCTGTCAGTTAGTCCTCAACCATGTAAGTTATTCTTGTATATTTTATTGTGGAAAATATCAAAATACGGTTTATTTCTCAGCCCTGCAAGACTCCCTTCATGCTTCGACAATCCAGTTGCAGGCGCCTTCTCCAAGGACGGTCAGCGTTGAAGACGTCTCTTCAAGGTATGTACTAGTAGTGTAGGTAGTACTATGTAATTGATTATGACTACTTATAAAACTACAAGCATACAGTTAGATCAAGAAATTAAGAACTGGGATAAAAATAGCCTTGGCAGATTGAACAATAATTACAACTTAATCTTAAACATGTGTCTTGATCATGCGTGTTATCAGTTACGTCAGAAACTACATATTTTGCAGGTTTATTTACGACTTTCGAAGTTTATTTACGACTTTCGAAGTATATTTCGTATTTAAGGTTATAATAGTTTGGAATGCATCCCCCTCTCGTTGTTGTTTACCCTTATTTCTTACAGGGGTAGCTTTTGTTTGGTGCTTCTGAGGGGCCGCTTCCCCTTTCAGCTGACCAGTTCGTAACCGACTTCATCTCCCACCGAAGTGAGACAGCTAACTGCGAAATTCGTATATATCTTTATTTAAGGTACAGGTTCGCGCTGACCCCTCGTTCCGACTGTTTCCAGAATTCCATATGGGTTCATTAATGCCCCATTGTTTTTCGCCTCATAGGTTGTTAAGCTGTCATGGAATGTTAATTGACTATTGGGAATCAATCAAATTCCCTTAAAACTCAGTTCTAAACACTTACAAACACATTTTTCATGGAAAGGAACGGGAGTAGATCGCATTATTTAAATGTCCTACGTTTATCAGTGAAATGTTCAGGTTGGATGGCAGGCTTTTACGTTTAGTACTGCTATTCCCAACTCCACTGAATACATACACTGAATCAACTAAATTTATTATGAGAATAAACTTTTATTTTGATTACGTAAACGGAAGAAATAACGTACAGATCTCTGATGATGGGGAGAAGCCGAACGTGTCTGACATACCAAAACAGGCAGATCAAAATTATCAGAAACGGACAAAGTATTGGGTTGTTTGACATGAAATGTCCGATTATATAGTTTCAGATATTCGGAGAGTATATAGCTGTTTTCTATTGTTTACTTCCAATTGTTTACATATTACAATTTAGCAGTTATTAATCCTACACTTTTGTTTATAATGATGGCCTCCCCAATTCAGTACACACATTTTACTATACCTACAAATATGAACAAGGAAACGCGATTTTCGTGTAATATCCTTTGCGAGTTTAAACTCGATCGTTCGGCAGCTGAGGCTGCAAGAATCATCAATAAGGCGTTTGCGGAAGGAAGTGTAAATGAACGGACCATTCGCCGTTGGTTTGTTAAGTTTTCGGAAGTGAATACCGAATTGGAAAACGAGCCCCGCGGAAGACCTCCAACTTTGACAACGATGTCCTTAAGCTTCAGGTGGAAGAAAACCACTGTTATTCAGAGGACTCGCAGCACACCTAAACGCAAGGGCAGCTAACGAGTGAAGACAATTAAGGAACATAAAAAAGGTCAAAAAGCTTGATCTATGGTTCCTCATGAGCTCACTGAGCGACAGCATTTAAAGCACCTTGACACATGCGTTTCGTTTCTCGCCAGACTTTTCTTAAAAGAATAATCACTTGCTATGAAAATTGGACAGTGGTTAAACATTAACGAAAGACCAGGACACATGCCAAAACCAAATTTACACCCCAAAAAAATTTATTGTGAACGTATGGTTGTCCATGGCTGGAATTATTCACTACTCCTTTTTGCCTAGAAATGTGTGGTGATCAGTGACCGTTAATCGATATTTATTTAGAAATCGTGAGATGCGGTCTAGTGTGATGTAGGTTTCAGAAAAACATTTTCTTTATCGTGCCAACGTTTCGATCTTTATTGAGATCATCTTCAGGGCTCAAAGTGTTTGTCTTCTGTGTATTGTGTCGTGTCGAGAGTGTCCCCCCCCTGGTGAGACCATTACCTCTACATCGTGCTGCAAGGAAATTGATGAAATGTATAAAAAATTACTCAAAAAACAACCTGCAATGGTAAATCGGAAAGGTCCTATACTCCACGACAACGCCAGGCCAATATAAATATATTGACAGATTAAGCGGTCGTCAAAAATATATTAGTTGCAAAAGTGCACGATTGCTATGAAAAAATTCGAAAACGACGATGCCTGAAACTGTTCCTAGAGAATTGTAGATAAAACGTTCCATTTTTTTACAATCGAACCCCTGAAGATCGGTAATGTAAAATCAAACCACTGCTGGCTGGTACCTACACCAGGATAGTACAATTTCATTTGGAAAGTAGAAGAACGAAAGTAAAATGTGGTAATGGTTGCACTAAACGTCATGTGATTAAAGGTGTACCACAAGGCAGTGTTCTAGGTCTCTTCCTTTTCCACGTTTTGACTTCCGAAGAAATCACACGCCCTGGCCTCTGCACGACTTACTCTTGTGCCCCATATGGGGTTATCTCAATTCATTGAGGATGGGACTCCCTCTGCCTGTTATCACACAAAGCACAATTTGAAACTTCTCTTTCTCAACAAGGAGTGGGGTTAAGGTAGAGCAACTCGCATCTTTCTGTGAAAAATCAACTCAATGTACTCGAATGTCGGAAGGTTCAGTGTTATGGGCATTTAAGTTGACGTGAATCTTAACCTCAAGTCAATCTGCGGCCTATTACCTGCAATCTATTTGACCAGCCTAACATTACTGTTTTAGTCTGTAGGAGGTCTGTCAGACACTATACTCCTTCTCACCATCTTCAGTGGACGATTTGTTAGATTTTTCGTAGTAATCAGGACCCTTGTACATGACGAAATTTCTTTTTTAGGTCTGTGTGTTGATGAGCTTATATTGCTGCATATCATTTTCGGCCTGCCTACCAGCGCGGTAATGATCTATCGAACGCATTTTGGAATCTCTCCGTCTTCAGCAGTGGGTTTTTGATACATTGTAGTCTGGTCCCATTTATATGGAGATATCCCTTCTTGAATTTTATGTTACGATAAGCCTGTAGTTTAGTACTTTCCGATCATTTTTGAACTTCTTATCCTCGTAGTTTTGGCCCGTCTTACACGTTTCACATTCTCGCCATCTTTATTTGTAGATTTGTAAAAATTTTTCGATGTAGCCAGCTTTATTTTACATTGTGAAATTTCTTCTTGACGTCTATTGGTTTATAAACTTACAATTTGGTTGTTTCTGACGATTTGTGATTTGCCTGATCTCGCACTATTGGACTTTCAAACCCTTTACGGTTTCCCGCCATCTTCAATGATAGTCTTGCGAGTTTTTCCGTTGAAGTCAGGTCCGTTTAAATAGTGAAATTCCTTCTTGAAGGGTATGATTAGCATGACTGTTTCCAGTTATTTTTGGTCTGCCCACCATTGCGAATTTCCAATGCACTTTTCTCGCCAACTTCAGTGGTGGGTTTCTTGATATTTTTCTTGAAGTCTGTGGGCTGATGAACTCTTAATGGACTACATAACACACATAAACCCACCACTGCAGATGCTGAGAAAACTAAAAGGGTCAGACCGACATGATAGGCAAACCAAAAATAATCGGAACGAATAAACTACATGTTCATCATACCGCAGACCCATAGAGGAAATATCGCCATTTAGTTTTCATCTAAGACCAAATAATAACAACTCTTTCCACCCTATTTTTTTTTCTTTCAAAAACGACCGGAAATCTCGCATTAGTCCGGTTCGAAATAGTATATCGGATTGAAGAAACAAGTTTTTATTATCATCAAGAACCCATTGATCATATGAGAATGGGGCACATGTTAAAAGCCAGTTAAGATCATTTGGAAGCATCATTTAGAGCTTCCGCCCAGGACATCAGTCAATCTTTGTAAGAGAGCGATTATATCGCGAAGATTTCTGGATACCGTGTCCGTCTCACAGCTTTTCTCCGGATCATTTTAAAATTGGATTAATGATTAAATAAATTAATACTTTAGTTAAATTTAGATAGTTTTCACCGTATACTGTCATTCTTCGTTTATTGACTCCTTGCAAACCTCTGAAAACTATAGACACATTTGTATCCTTTGTATTTATTAACGCCCATAAAATTGGTTAAATTTGACTTGATTTTAGTGATTTACAATATTTTGCGTACACATACGATTATTGAGCGTAGTTCTTTCTTTATAATTGTTTTCCTCGCTTATAAAGCTTTTACGACTTGAGGAGGTAATTTGAAAATGGGTTGCATGTTTGCGCCTAAACTTTGACTCGATTCGTGCTCCATTATGTGAACTTTCCACGAAACTAGTCCGATATCGAGTATGGAAAACTAAATTGAATACTACGTCGGTACATTGCATGAAGCACTTACAGCATGGTTAATTGTTTGCAGAACATAATTAAACAATCTGCTTGATTGTTTATAAATTGCCGATTTGAACCTGGTTGGCTTAATTGACGATTAGTTTTAACAAGCGTGGGAATTATGGAAAGGGTGGTTTTTTAAATAATGGTGCTAAATGATTTATATAATAATACATGATCCTTGTAATCGTTGTTAATTGATTATCTTCTGATGGTGAAGGTTGATAGCTAACCAGCTGCAGATTAATTGTCGGAATGAATTGAAAACCAAACAAACCATTCATTAATTTAGAAATTAATGAATATCCTACTTATTCAAGATATCTTCAAAAATAATTTGCTGTCGGATAGTTATAAAAGGATCAACCTGTCATGCTAACATGCGGTTTTGCATCTGTATTGCACTGATTTTTTCCCTACTTATTTATTTGTCGTTTTATGACGTGGTTTATTGGTTGGTCCCAAATTTAAAAAAAACTACATCGAGCTTCCTTTTGGTAGCGTCGCAGAAGACTCTTGGGGTTAATCTCTGCAGTTGACGGTCTGCGAAAGAACAAATTCGCAGAAATTTATTATAAATTATTTCAACACGATATGCTCATTCTAACGGATTTGAGGGGACCGCGGTAGCCGAGTGGTTAGCATGAGAGACTCTCACGCCGCGGTCGTGGGTTCGATTCCCACCGTCGCCTCTGGCCCTTTTTCCCGATAACCCCCAATTTGAACACACAAGAATTCGTACCATGGCTAAATATGCAAGATCATAAGGCAAAAAA